GATAACGAGATTTTTTTCGAGTAAGATGGAGGTACAACCAAAAATAGTAGTGGGATGTAGTGGGTATAGGTCAGATTAGATTTGTTGAACCCGGCCAGAAAGGTTCGAAAACTAGGTCACTCTTTTGAGTGAAATGTCTATTCGATTTTGATCCGTAGCTGCTCCTTGGATTGAAAAACCATTCTTTGGAAGATAGCGGCCCAATGATGAAGCTATCATTTCGGGATGGTTCAAAAACCGCCCATGCTTTTGGTGATTTTTGGGATTGACATCCTTGGGCTGCCCACAAAAAAACACTACACATTTTTTGACACCTGAAAATCAATGCAGGTCCTGGGATTGACATCCTTGGCTCGTCGAGTGAAGCAGCTGGAGGCGAGCCGAACATTTTTTTTTCGGTTCTTCCAGTGGTACAGAGCAGTCTCCAGAGTTTTTTTTTTCCCCACGTTTGGAGCATTCCAAGTTTGGTCGCCACTTTATCACTTGATATCACTTGTATCATCTTGACATGTATCATGGGGATCAACATTTTCCCCCAGATGGTGGTTTTTCATGGTGGATCCATGTTGATCTCAGTGAGCCAGGCCCAAGAAGCAAAGGACGTCGCTGAAAGATCGTTGGGATCTCCAGCATTCCGAATGGCGGTGACTGGACGCTGGATGTTGTTGGAAACGTGTGTTGGAAAGGTTATTGGCTAACATTGGACAACTCAAAAAGGATAAGGCGGATAAGGATACACAATTTTTCCTCATACATTTTTGAACTTCTGCCGACATGGGTGAAAATGCAAGAATACTCCCCGTGACAAGTTTCGAATCGTTTTGGACATATTTGCTCTGCCATCCATTGCTTTTTTGATCCACGGGTCTTGACCCATGTCCGATGTTGGGCAGATATCATCCCAAGGCAATAATTTGAGAACCACTGTTGACAAAGGCCTGTGAAGTTGGAAAAGTCGGGGAAGGCTGCGAAGGCTGCGAAGGCTGCGAAGGCTGCGAAGGCTGGTAGTGTCAGCATTCCTGAAGGAATTCCGGGATGTTTACCCTTGTGATTGCATCCATCTAAGACGAACAGGGAAAGTCCAGGACTTTTGGATGCAGAAACTGAGTCCTCAGTCAGATGTGCTAAGCAAATCTAATTAAGCAATGCAAAAACCGTTTTAGATATGTATGTAAATGTGTAACTAAACATTATGCGTTCTATATGTCTATGTCTATGCATACGTATCTATACAGCATGTACATGTACATATAATTCAGATTGACAGGCGCTGGATGTTTGCGATTCTTGTAAGTTGAGCAACATGCTTTGAGCTTTTGAGAGGCAACCGCAAACAATTCTGTTCGTTCTAGGTTTTCGGAAGATAGCACTGCCATGTTGTTCTTTCACATCTTTCACTGTTCTCCGATGAAACGGATCAAGTCCGAAAAATGCACGAAATGTAAAGAGGTGTGAAGAGGTGTGTAGACGTTTGCAGCTACAGGCAGTTCGAATAGCCCATGACATTGGACGAATCTGCATCAATTGGACTGAACAACACACATCAGTTGATGCATGATGTGTCAATGATGTGCTGTGGCAGGTCATGAAAAGCCACTTGAAGAAGAGGTTCTTGCTGCTGAAACCTGTTTTGCAAACACCACTGCGTCAAATACTTTTCATTGATCAATGCATCTTTATTTCATGCTGAACCCAAACATTGGAAGTTAAGACCTGGCGTATCCAAGAGCCATCCATTCGAGCATTATCATGCATTATCCATGTTATCCCAAGTTGCCCTCTCTTAGCCGGCAAGGTATAGATCCTGTCGTTTTACCCATCCATCTCCGATGTTGGGCAGATATCATCCCAAGGCAATAATTTGAGAACCACTGTTGACAAAGGCCTGTGAAGTTGGAAAAGTCGGGGAAGGCTGCGAAGGCTGCGAAGGCTGCGAAGGCTGGTAGTGTCAGCATTCCTGAAGGAATTCCCGGATGTTTACCCTTGTGATTGCATCCATCTAAGACGAACAGGGAAAGTCCAGGACTTTTGGATGCAGAAACTGAGTCCTCAGTCAGATGTGCTAAGCAAATCTAAGCAATGCAAAAACCGTTTTAGATATGTATGTAAATGTGTAACTAAACATATGCGTTCTATATGTCTATGTCTATGCATACGTATCTATACAGCATGTACATGTACATATAATTCAGATTGACAGGCGCTGGATGTTTGCGATTCTTGTAAGTTGAGCAACATGCTTCGAGCTTTTGAGAGGCAAACGCAAACAATTCTGTTCGTTCTAGGTTTTCGGAAGATAGCACTGCCATGTTGTTCTTTCACATCTTTCACTGTTCTCCGATGAAACGGATCAAGTCCGAAAAATGCCCGAAATGTAAAGAGGTGTGAAGAGGTGTGTAGACGTTCGCAGCTACAGGCAGTTCGAATAGCCCATGACATTGGACGAATCTGCATCAATTGGACTGAACAACACACATCAGTTGATGCATGATGTGTCAATGATGTGCTGTGGCAGGTCATGAAAAGCCACTTGAAGAAGAGGTTCTTGCTGCTGAAACCTGTTTTTGCAAACACCACTGCGTCAAATACTTTTCATTGATCAATGCATCTTTATTTCATGCTGAACCCAAACATTGGAAGTTAAGACCTGGCTTATCCAAGAGCCATCCATGGTAGTCTCATTGTAGCCTCATCCATGATCGGTTCTTGGCCAGGTGAAGATTCCTTTCGGGGTGATGGGGTGCTGAAAGGCAAGGCTGCTAAAAGCTGAAGAAGGGATGGCGCAGGTGTCAAAACCAGAGACATTTTGGGGAATTCCATCCCAGAAAAACATGGATTTCCTAGCAATTCGACGAGCAACGAGCAACAAGAGACACTGCTGTGCCATGGAATCCTTTCTTTTGAACCTTGCCTTCAGCTTGAGAAATGGAACTTTTGGTTCTGGGATGTGTTCCCACTGCGAAATGGAGCAAGTGGGTCTGCGGGTTCACAATGCAAGCAGTGGGTATCCAGAACGTATCCAGGAGGTTCTTTTAGATATTGGACGTTCATTCTTTTTCAGGTTAGCCAGACTCAACTCAAACAGTACCTAGTTTGGATGACAAAGTTGTGCCAAAGCGTGGAACCGTTGGAACCCACTCTTTATGCATTGCTTGAAAAAGCCATCCAGTTGAGAGCTAAGAACTGGTGCGACAGCTTGGTAGTGAGTTTGAAGCTTGGTTCGGCTTCGTTACTTGAAAGCTTGTTGCATATTTGAAATCATATTTGTAATATTTTTAGATATGTTTTAATTTTGTTGGATTTGAGATGCTTCAACATGTTATGGCCAGTTTCATGTGGCTCTGCCTGTGGTTTATTATTATCCTGCCAGGTTTGTTTTTTTTTTTTCACATGTTGCTTTTTGGTTTTCCAAAATTCTTTGGTGGTTACCCTCTGGTAAACTAACATAGCGAACTGGAAAATCACCATGCTATTAATGGGAAACTCAACTATTTCTATGGCCATTTTCAATAGCTATGCAACAAATTCCCAGAGGGTAAAACTGAACCTTTGGGGCTCATGGCTATCGGACTGGTTATCGCTGCGTAGCTTCTTTTAGGGCTCAATCCAGTCACCCGTCGCGCCAGAACCTGGGCCGGGTGCCCTATGGATCCACCTTCAAATTTCAGCTACGAAATGGGGAGGACTTGGGCTACAGTACAGATTGCCAGCCAGGATTTTTTTGTACAAACAGGAGGGGTTGTGCCCCCCATTTTGTATTTGGAATCATTTTGTAGTTGATTCCTTTCCAATCATCATTTTCATTTTGTAGTTGTATATGTTGAGTTAGTTGAAGCATCCAACATAAAATTTCATTAGCATTTTGTAGTTGTACAAGTTGAATAGTTGAAGCATCCAACATAAAATCTCATTTGCATTTTGTAGCTGTACAGGTTGAATAGTTGAAGCATCCAACATAAAATCTCATTTGCAATCATTTGCATTTTGTAGTTGTATGTATGTTGAGGAAGTTGAAACATTCATAAAATGATATAAAATATAATTAACATGATTTAAAATGTAACATGAAACAGATCATGAAGCTACAGAATGCCATCTAACAAACTGCACGGGGTCAACACTTGATCCAACTAAATTCAATCATTGACAACTACAAAATGTTCTCCGAATTTATGTTGGTCGGAACTTTGGATGGCAAAGACCCAACTACAAAATGTCATTGGGAAAAAATCATGTTAGCAATTCCGACGTTCAGCTATTTTTTAACTTCAGATGCATTGGATTTTGTAGTACTGGTTTTGAATTATTTTCCGAGCCAGAAAGAGTTATGTTCTTCATTTTGTAGCAGCAAAAAAACCTACACGCACTGCATTTTGTAGTTGTGCACCCTATGCATTCCACTCTGTATCTACCAAAACCATCTGCACAACTCCTCCCCCCTTATCTGAACCCTGATCCCTATGGGGTGTATGGCAATATATGGCAATCAACCGCTATTTGGGATGATCCATGCCCGCTTTGTCTTGATTGTTGCTGTTGAATTGGTGGTGACTGGAACCATGGAATTTTATGACTTTCCATGCAAATGTCATCATCCCAACTGACGAACTCCATCATTTTTCAGAGGGGTAGTACGGTATACCAACCAGTCGCTGTTGAATTGCACCATGTTGAAAACATATCCACAACTGACGCAGACAGCTCGAGTTTTCGAGGGGCTTTTCGCGGTGATTCCGTAAAGATCAGACGCTCGAGCCCGAAACAATCCAGTGACAGCGAATGAGTCCAATGTTAATAATGTTAACATTTTGATATATTTCGATATATATTTTGTTTTTTTTGCTATATTTCGATATATTTTGTTTTTTTTGGCTATATTTCGATAGTCGATATATTTTGATATGGTATTTTCAGCCCAAAAGCTTCTTCATTCTTTCAACAGCGGGCTTCCGCAGTGGTAGCTGGATGTCGCTGCCCAGGGTCTCGCCAGTTGCGACAGCATGCCACACTTGGAGACGGAGATGAAATTGGATTTTAAGGCGAGAAACTGATAGGCTCCAGGTCATGCCAGACTCCTATGGAATCTATGGAATCTATGTTTTGATGTGTGTTTTAATGTGTTAATGGAGAGTTTTCGCCTGCAACTGAAATCAACTGAATAGGGAAACCAGTCCAATAGGGGGCAGGCTACCCAGAAATTGTGGGCAGGCTACCTTGTTGGTTGATGTGACACACTGCTATTGGTTGTTGCGGTGCCTCTCACAAAAACTGCAAAAAGGCAGAATGAGGCAAAACTGAATTGATATGTCAGCTAACAGTATCCTATGTGACTGGGGTTTTCCTACTGGCAGCAGTCAAATGTCCATTAAATTTCCTACTGGTAATATGCAGAATTTCATAGAATTTCCATTCAGGCAATGACATGTCTGCCTTCTTTCTGCAGTACCGGAGCAGATGCAATTACTGTAATTGCCTTGAAACAAATCTCACCAGATATTCTGAACATAATCTGATTTTGATGAAAGGGATCTTTTTCTTGAAATGATTGGGGTTGAAGGAGGTGAGGATGTTGGAAAATCTTTTGCGAGACATCATCCCTAAAACACTTTAAGAAATGCTGTCTGAGGATGTATGGCCGAACCGAAATGTTCAACATGTCGGAAGGTCAAACGTAGTGTTGATGAACTTTTTGAGTATAAACAATCTCAACAATGTTTAAAGTTAGGTTGTGAATTTGACAGATTGAATATTGAGAAATGAAACAATATAGAACAGAAAACACTGGATGTGTTGTTTGTGGACATCAGCAATCCAAGAACATTTGACACTTTGTGCTAACAATGCATATGTGATAAAGTTGGAAGAAGAACTTGCTTAACTTCCATGATGCATTGTAATAATGAATGTCAAGATTTGGTGTGGGGATGATTCTGGGGAGCTTGGGCTGAAGCTCTCTTGCTCCAAGTGAAGCTTTTGGGTTTTGACATTCTTCAATGTCAATATGCCGTCTCCAGCATCTCAAGTGCTTCAGCTTCGATTCAATGTCACCTGCTCGTTGTGTAACTTCCTGATTTGAGACTATTTTTGATACATTTCTGCAAGTGTTGTTCCAAAAAAGGTATGAACCTACAAAACGAATCAAAACGACACAAACTGTTCATTGGGTTTCCAGGTAACTTTTTTTTTGTGTGTGAACTGTGACTACCATCAGATGGCGTTTGTCTTCCGCGGGCCTTCCCGACCGGTGGGAGTTCCAGCCCTCTTTGCACTGGCCGTTGGCAGAGGAGTGGCAAATCCGCTTCAAACGCGGGCAGGAGATTGAGGAGATTGGCAACAAGATCTATGTGGGGTTGATTGTTGATTTTTTTCTCATCAAAGGCAGCCTAACGAAGCAACTTGATGGAGTTCAGACAGTAGAGGATCTTTATCGGATCCCCCTTGGTGGTGAGGGGGCACGCGACAGGGCCTGGGACTTTCACGAGCTGGTCGATGAAGCAGCGGAGAAGTGGCTCACCCATACTTTTTTGCAGGGTCATCTGGCCGAGAAGCTTTGCGAAGCTAAAGCACCGTGATTTCTGCATGCAGCGAGCTGGGCTGTCTGTGCTTCGCAAACTGGCAAAGAGATGATGCTGCAATAATCGCTGGATGCCATGCATCGCGTGAACGCCATCCACACGAGGCCTTCAAAGTATACTTGGCAAACTGGCATCAGTTGGAGATATATGAGGCTAATCGATGCGATTGGAAAAACAACTTGACGCAGCCGCTGTCTGACAAACCTGTGCAAAAGGCTCGAGCATACCCACCAAACTGTTCGAGACGCAGCAGTGCAGGCCTTGAAGGTGGTCAGTCCGGACAATCAGCATGCAATCAACGAGATTTGCCTCCGGTTGTTTCATAGCCAGGCTGGGATGCGACATGCCGCACTCCAAGCCTTGACCCACGCGGCCAGGAGAGGAAACCGGCAGGCAATAGAGGCTGTGCGCCCCTTGCTGAAAGACCGCAGTGCGAAGACAGTTCGCCCAGCTGCTGAACATGCGTTGGGCAGGCTAGAACCGGACCGTAGGGTCGCAAGGAGGGATTGAGCAGACTGTTAAAAATGTCACAAGCAGCGCGAGCATGGATACCATTGGATACCCAACAATTTGACGACGACGATGAGGATGACGATGAGGATGCCGATGAGGATGCCGATGAGGATGACGATGAGGATGACGATGAGGATGCCGATGAGGATGACGATGAGGATGACGATGAGGATGACGATGATGACGCCGATAATGATGATGATGATGATGATGATGGTGGTGGTGGTGGTGGTGGTGGTGATGGTGGTGATGGTGGTGGTGATGGTGGTGACGGCGACGGCGACGGCGACGACGACGACGACGATGATGAATGACGGTCAATAGTGACAATAATGATAACAATAAATATTCTAAAAGTGTGGCCGTCCCTCGTTTGCAGAAACATTGCCCGAACTGATGTTGTTGGTTGTTATGACTTGTGCTTGATGTTGTAGATTGTTACGAAATCATTGTCACACAGCTTGGGGGTCGTAACTTGGGAAAAGGGACGAGGCTATCCTTGACTAATATACGATCTAGTTAGGAAATTCCTCCTGATAATCCCGTTAATGGTGGTATGACCATACCCCAGCAATCATCCATCTTCACAGCAACCCCAGTGCCTTCGACTCCAATCCTTTCGCACGTGCCGAGCCTTTCGGGGTCATGCAGGACGTGCTGATCCGACCCAAGCGATCTGCATTGTCAAGCCGAGCGCAGGTGGGATCTTGGAGAATGGTGGATAGTTTCTTGTACCTTAGTGGATGTTGTGGATGTTGTTTATTCACCAACATAATTGGGATAGTTTCTTCACCATAATTGGGATCTTGGTAGTGGATGTTGTTCGATTATAATTATGTTATAATTATGTTGGTGAATCTCAAACTGCCAGTAGAAAATGAATGGCTTGCGGCTGGAATTTTAAGCTTTGTCAACATTTTCCTCAACCGAAAGATGCAACTGTCGCTGCTCCATCACATGAGTGTGATTTTTCTGTACTTCTTTCGGGTATATACTTGGATGTATTTGCACCCTGGAGATACTCTTGAGATAGCAGCAACAACTCATTGACCATGCTTTGAACAGCTGGAAGAATATCAAAACTATGAACCTGTTGTCCTTCCCTGGGCACAGTCCCAAAAGGGGGACGTTCCAAATTACGGCCAATCGAAAAAATATGATCAACATCAATTCTTGATTTTAAAATCTTGAGACGCCCCCATTTGTGGATACTTATTCATTGTATACAAATAAAATGTACATACAGCGTGTATATATATATATTATATACTGTATATAATTATAGATATAGAGATAGACACTTCAAAAAAAATGTTACTTAGCAATCCCCGGGAACGTGATTGGTTTCTGTTGTTTGACTGACGCCTTGACAGGTCTCCATCGAAAGGGAATTTATCTTCCCGAACTCCAAACAGGTGAGAAGTGGAAATCATTGCATCCTGCTGGCCCTCATTCGCGAACGGTTTTGTGTTGAAAACATGGGAAATCCAAACCAACTGTAGGCATATAATATATTATTTATTTCTCTATCTCTTTATATCTCAGGTCTCTCCTATCTCTCTAACTATCTCTGTCTCTCTATCTATCTCTCGAACTTGAACTATCTCTCTATCTACTTCTGTTTATCTCTCCCGCTCTGTCTCTGTCTTCTATCTCTATCTAGCTATTTATCTGAAACCGCGTGGGGAAATCAAGCGTCTTGATAACCAATCGGAACACACCCGGCGTTTGCAACTCATGAATCTTGCAAACATTCGCACGTAGATCACTCAAGTGAGAGTATGTGCATAGAAAAAACTCAGTGCTGGACTACCCATGGCTCATGGCTGTCTACTCTGTGTGCTACGTTCGCAAATAGATACAGGCAGTCAGAAAACAGTTTTCTTCTTTTTCAACGACCCATTTGCTGTATTTTCCATCGTTTTGGAGTGAGAATTCCAATTTTTTGACCATATTTGGGATGGGCCGGAATCGCAGGTGTGGAGTGGCACCCCCATCATTGCGGCCAACATGGACACAGTTGGCACCTTCGAGGTCGCTGGTGGGTTGGTCCATGGCCGCCATGGCCATTGCTGGGGATGTGGTGATGCGAATTGTATGGCCCATGCCATGCCATAGGCATTCAAAAATCTGGACTGCTTGGTGGTTTGGAACATGACTTTTACTTTCCATTTCATATTATGGGATGTCATCCTTCCCATTGACGAACTCCATGATTTTTCAAGATGGTTAAAACAAGTTAAAACCACCAACCAGTGGAGCATGATCCTTTGGTGATACAACTTTTCATTTGGCTGCTTGACGCTTGGACGCTTGTCGATGTTTCTGGGTTATTTGTCGCTGACTCCATGCGTTTAAGAGCAGTGTTCAAAATCACTGGTGCTTGATGATGATGTGGAGTTGCACTATCCAATATCTCGGGGATTATCACAATCCATTGTGGCAATCCTACTAACATCCACATTTGCCAGCCAGTATTATAAACTGCCTTTGTTAACCAACCTCTCAGTGACCCGTTGCAGCAGGTTGCGGAAGTTCTGGCAAAGCGCAAGTGCCACCTGAGCTGGAAGTATTCGGAGTCGTCCTGGGACAAGATAAGATAACTCCCACAGGATTAAGTTTTATTAAGATAACTATAGTAATAACTAGTCATATCCTATGGGAGGACTATGATTCATATGATTGTTACTATATATTTCATTTTTGAATTAAGGTCCTATTTTAATATTTCATACCTGTAGTAATAGCAATAATATGCAATAATTAATGTGGGTTTCCCCAATCATAAACCATCCCCAACATCACCATTTAGTATATGGTATAAACCATCCCCCAAAGGTAGTTTTTTTTTTTTTAACACAAGACTCACATGTCTTGTGCTAACGCTTCCCGGGCGCTTCCCGGGCGCTTCCCGGGCGGCATGGGATCGAGGCACCAAATGGACGGACTAAGCCTCGAAGTGAGAAGGAATTGCATCCCCATTGCCCATTCTATTCCTACAAAAAATATCCCTTTGTATATTCCATATTATAGTTATATATTATAGTCTATTCCAGTTGGTTTTATAAAAGTTATATATATATATTTGGTACCAAAAACAACCCTTTTTTCTCGCTGGTTCAACCCATTTCAACCCAGAGAAATACTGGCCGAGGCATTACGGCCATCCACAAGCACTACAGCGTGGAGCAATGGAAGAACTGGGCCGAAGGCGCGATTGGCCAAGAATCCCGACCACCCCTAAGATGAAACAAAACACCCTGTAGAAACCATGGTTTAGTAGGGGATTTACACTCAAACATGGGACCATTGAATGGAGGTGTGAAAAATATCAGGGGGATGGGATTATTTTTCATGTTTTAAGCATCAATGACTATCAATGATTATCTTCTCTATCACCCATCAATGACGATTTCAGCGACAAAATCAGTGACTATCAATGAGTTTCACTTAAGAATCAACTTACTTGACTCGAAAAATTGGAGCTTCACAGTTTCAGAATGTTTTCAAGAATCAACTCAACCATTAGCTCAACTATTCAACCAACTCCTTCGCACCCCAGGGGGTCCGCAGCCAGGGCCTGGCAAGGAAATCCTGGGCTTCGTGGCAGTGAGCACTGGCATCCTGGAGAAGGTGTCCGCTTTCTCCATGGGTACCATGTCATGGTGATACCCCCCAAAATTGCTATGTTTTATTGGTGAAGATGATGGAATTTGATGATTTTCCCGATTTGCAGAGAATTTCTTAAATGAAACAAGGCCAAAATATCTGGGAAGTCTTCAGTTTGATTGTGCGGTCTGCAGTAAATTCTATCCACATTACACAGAAGCAGGAAGCGAAGGGCATCGAACACACATTGTGGGAATAGGAGAAATGATCTTGTTCCAGGCTTTCCTGAAATGCATCGGAAGTGGAAAGCAGAGATGGTCCGGTCGTGTAGTGACATCGTCCCAATTCAGTAAGAGCTCATGATGTTATTTTCCTGTCAGTGACCAGTTTATTCTATACATCCCGTGGCGTGAATCTTGAAACAAACATGGTAAGGCGCTGGCTTTTCCCTGTCACTTCTGGATTTCCCCTCCAGTGGCAGCTCTACAAAAGATGACAAACGCATGTGGTTCAAATATTTTGGGCAATCGCACTAGATAAGGATCTATTCACCCGCCGCAGCTCATCACTTGCACCAAGGTCAAATATATTAACACGTTTGGACACCGTTTTCACAAAGACCATGGGTTCCATTTTCCCCATTGGTCCAAAATATGATTTCATCCCCCACATCCATGGCCAGGACATGGAGAAGTTGGCTCAAATCATCAAAGCGGTGCGGGACCTGACCAGAATTCTGCCCCGTTGTAGCTGTGAGTCGACCATGGCGTTCGCAGGTGCCGGGCATCAACATGGTCTGCATCGATGTGGCCAATGGCTATTCCGAGGCCGCTTGGGAGGGATCCGAAGCCTGGAACTTTTTTTAGGGGGTGTCGGCTTCCAGGTTTGACGCGGTATGGCTTGTGGGATTGCCAGAAACCACCACAAATCAGGCAAGAGATTTGGGCGGATTCTCAGGATGAAGCAGAGATATTTGGCAAAGCCAATTGGTTAAGCGTTCACCCTCACCCCAACGAACATCGACCCTGCCCCCGAATCGGGGGTTGGAACCCGTGCAGCTCAGGCCTTTGTGCAGTGCATCAGGGAGGTGCGAAAGACCTATCCAAAGGCTGGACCGAGGTCAACTGACCAGGGCCAAGCTTCAGAAATATCATGGCATTATATACATAATTAATCATAATTATATATATATTTATATTATAAATATATATATAATATATATATATAATATAATATATATATATATGTTATATATATATATATAGAACCCACATATGATCTTTGGGTTTGTCTGAACATCGGGAGTGTATACGGTATATCCTCAATTTATGGTCATTTTGAACCAGGGAAAATGATGACCGATGATCCTCCCCGATGAGGTGACCATCATGGCTGGCAACGTGGTGACCAAAGAGATGACGGAGGAACTGATTTTCTCTGGTGCCGATGTCATCAAGGCCTGGCAGCTCATCCAAAATCATGCAAGATAGCTGCGATAGCCCCCCAAATAGATGTTGAACAGGCCAAAATGAGAGGCTACATTTTAGCATCGTTTTTTTTTTCTGGATTTTACTGCTTGTACTTTTCGACCTTTTCCATCTCGTTTTTTGGGGCTATCAAAATTATGGCTGCTGGATGCTGGATGCTGCTGGGGATCACCAGGTGGGCATTGGCCCGGGCAGTGTGTGCACCACTCGCAAGCAAACAGGCGCGAAAAACGCCACTGGATCCGGGCATCCGAGACAGGGATGGCATTAAAACCTCTAAGAAGTTACAAACCATGGTATGTATGTGTATATATATATATGTATATAGATATATCAATTTCGGTATTATATGATATTATGGTATATTATGCATATGATGATGGATACAATTGGACATATCCCATTAAGGTAACTCGCTTATAGCAGTGTTTATTCAAGTGGCTAGTCCGATCCCTGCACTAAGTGCTGGAATCCTGTCATTAGAAGCTGCATGGTTTCGCAGCTTCGCTCAGCAATTGCTGCAGCTATAGCAGGTACCATGGCAGGTACTATATTTTGACACCCATGTAAAAAAATAACCCACTCGAATCCTGTCGTATGATGCTTCATGTTGAATACTCATGTCTGTTACCCTCTGGTAGACGTTTACATAACTATGAAAAGATCCACCATTTTCAATGGGAAAATCCACTATAAATGGTGATTTTCAATAGCTATGTTAAATTACCAGAGGGTAAGTCATTCATTTTTTTTACAGGCAATTTTTGGATCACCCAGTGACCCAGTTACGGTTCTACGTCGATGTTCCGCAGGTGTGGGATACCCCCAGCTCTCTGCGGTTTTGGAATGTGCCGATGCAGCACATGGCACCCTGGCGACGTTTCGCCAGGATCAGACCTTGGGCAAACTTTTTTTGATGTCGCATTGGGACCATCTGGTAAACATACAAACAAACTATGGAACATCACCCATTTTTCCATGAGTAAATCAATGATTTCTATGGCCATTTTCAATAGCTATGTAACAAATGACCAGAGGGGAGTCGGGAATTGATGGGATAATAGAACCAACAATAGTATGCCAACGGGAATCTATTATTCCATGAATTTCAAGTGATAATTAACGGGATCATATTGGGATATGGTGGGAATATACAACCGGCACTATGACCACTGGATTTAAGTGTCCAAGAATGGGGTACGGTATACCCCCATTTATGACCATCAAACAATGAAATTCAGGGCTACCCCATTTCAGAATCTTGCTGATATGTCTGCCCATCATGATGGGTATTTCATGTTATTTCATGAAGCAAACATGGGGCCGAGTAACCATCATTGGAGTTTGCCACGGGTTATGGAGATTGTGGACTCTTAAGCCAGCATTTCGAACACGGAATCTTGGGTCATTGCACCGGTCATTTCTCAAGTGGTTTATCCCATCACTTCCAGAGCCTTCTTACGTGGCTCAGGTTTGGGTGGCCGCATTGTTTCTGATGGTGGGTGGGGAAACCAATCTGGCAGGTTGTCGAATCAGCTGCTCGGGTGATTCGTTTTGCGTATGCCATCCACATAGAAAAAACAGACACAAATTCATGGAAAATTCTCAAGTCGAATATCCCCAATCCACTAGACTCTGGGGACCAGTTTCCTCCTGACAAGTCGTTGGCAAAGCCCTAGGTGCACTTGCCCTGGAGATGTTTGCAAAGCCTTTGGTGCCGGGGCCGACTTTGTGATGTTAGGCGTGGCGTCTTTGGGGAGGTGGCCATGGTCTAATTTTGGATGATGTGGGGTACCACCCCATTTTAGGAAGCCTCCATATATAATCATATATATATATGCAATTATAGAAGATAGGAAACATATTTTGCACATTTATAGAACAGAAGTGTTTATCATACCAGTTAATACCTATTGGATATATTTAGGAAACCAAGCTGACCAAGCCCAGAATCAGCTGCTGCAGGTGGCATGCTAGCAGGTCATGAAGAGTGTGCTGGCGAGGTGCCTTCATAAAGCCAATAATCAACATCAATTGGGGTGAGAGTTGGAGAGTTTGTTGGGCTTGACCACTGTTTAGTATCCATGAGTTGGAAATGATGTGGCCATTTAAAACACATAGATATTACATATATATATATATGGCATCTGAAACTATATATATATTAGCTGATGTGGTTCCTTTTGGACATTTTACTGGGTATTAGACCAAGATTGGCAGTTTCTGGGCTGCTTGGGGCTCGAATCCGCCGGAGACCTTGGAAGAGAATGGCCATTTCTTCAAGGCGCAGGGGCGGACTGTATCCGATGACTCCAGAAATATCACGGAATCACGGGGTAAACTGCGAATATGGGTGAATCCTTATGTTTATATTATCATGGTGACATGGTGTATGGGTGAATCCTTATGTTTATATTATCATGGTGACATGGTGTATGGGTGAATCCTTATGTTTATATTATCATGGTGACATGGTGTATGGGTGAATCCTTATGTTTATTGTAGAGCTTCGCACACCGGCGACGCCGGTAGGGGTCGGGGGAGGGAAAGAGAGAGGGGGATGTCATCTGAACTTGCGAACATGACATGCTGAGGGTCGGCGGCCTATCTTGGGGCTATGTTGGCCCAGCTTGGGGCTATGTTGGCCCATCTTGAGGCTATGTTGGCCTATGCCTATGCGCACAAAGTGTTGTAATTTACAGCATTTTGCGCTTTGAGATGGCAAGAACCCGTGTAAACACAACAGTTTTAGTCCCCGAAAGTGGCTAAAACATTCTTATTTACAGAGTTTCGTTCACATCACGATCTTCGATTTT